CATATTTGTACCAATAATTGGACGGCGAGGGTATAAATGGACCAAACTTTAAACGGAGGGCATATTTAAACCTTTTCGAAAAGTACAGGGGCATATTTGACCCTTTTCCCTTATATTTATAAGGGAGGATTTCAGCGGGAAAAGGGAGTGATTTTTGAAATTTTGGATTTGGGATAATGACACTTTGTTTACTTACATAATGACAAAACTATGGTATTAAATTTAGGGAAAATTATATGTAATAGCAGACTAATAACCTAAAATAAATGAAATAGCTAGGATTTGATTTAATTGTGTTCCATAGCAAACGTTTGCAAAAAATTGTCAGGCGCCTCTCTCCCAAATATCTCGCTCGCCACTCTCCTCCAATCTCTCGCTCGCTTCCTCACTTTTTATACAAACACGAGTATATAAAAATTATTTCTAATTGTATAAACTAGAGAAAATTGTATAAATGCATATATTTTTGTTCCTCTCTCTCCCCTCTTCCAGTTCTCGCTCACCATTCTCCCAAATCTCGTTCGCCACCCTCGCCTTTCTCACTTATACAAACAGAAGCGAAATGTATAAATTGTGTTTCTGTTTGTATAAAGCATAAGAAAATTGTATATACACATGCAAGTACATATATTTTCGTCCTATACACTTATAATTATACAATAAAAATACTCCTCTGCCCAGTTTCTTTTGCCTTTTTTCTCTTTCTCGTTTTATACAATTTTCAAATTGTATCTAATTTCTCTCTTTCTCGTTTTATACAATTCGATTCAATTGTTTATTCCTTGTCAAGTCTCTTTTGTCTTTCTCTCTTTCTCATTTTATACAAATTCAAATTGTATATAATCATTCTAAACACTTATGATAATACAATTCGTTTTATACACTTCGTTTTTATACAGTTCTCTGCCCAAGTGTCTTTCTCTTTCTTGTTTTATACACTTCGTTTTATACAATTTGCTTCAACTGTATATGTATAGCGAATTATACAGTTTCTATGTTTGTTATGGAGCGCAATTATGCAAACTATGTTATAACATACAAATATAAATTTTTTATTTGTTGTATGTGAAAGTTGCCCTTAAATTTAATGCTTTCGAAATGTACTAAATATTGAATAATTCTTTCATTTTATATTAGTCAATCATTATATTAAAAAGAGTTGTTAGTAAAATATTAATCAATTTTTGTATAACTTGCATAAATCTTATAATTTTAAAAGCAATTTTCACATATAAGAAACACAAATTTTATATTTTTATGTTATAGCAAAGTTTGCATAATTGTATTCAATAACAAACATAAATATATATAATTCATTATACATATACAAATAAATCAATTGTATAATTTGTTATACATATACAAAAGAAAGTAGTTGTATACAAATTAATTGTATAATTTATGTATGTATAAAAAAGAGAAAGAGAAAGAGAGAGACGAAAAAAAGTTGAGCAGGGGAATATTTGTATTGTAAAATTATAATGTATAAGATGAAGATATATGTATATGCATGTGTATATACATTTTCTCACGCTTTATACAATCAGAGATACAATTTATACATTTTATTTCCGTTTGTATAAGCGATAGAGGCGAGGGTAGTGAGCGAGATCTGGGAGAGGAAAACAATAATATATGTGTATTTACAATTTTTTCTTGTTTTATACAAATAGAAATGCATTTTATACACTTGTGTTTGTATAAAAGTGAGAGGGAGCGAGCGAGAGAAGGAGAGTGGCGAGCGAGAGTTTGCGGGAGAGAGGTGATTGACAAACAGTTTGCTACAGGGAACAATTAAATCAAAGTGCGGTTATAACGTTTAATTTGATTTATTAGTTTGTCATTATATACAATTTTCCCTAGTTTTGATATGAAATTGCAATTTATCCCTCATTAGTTTGTAATTACATTAATCCCTTAAAAAATAACAAAAATCGGATACATAATATGTAATTCAGATACATTAAAGAGTATTTCGGATAAATCATATATTTATATAAAAGAGAACCCCGTCTATTTGGTGTCACCACAAACCGAGATTCTCTTTTAACTTATTTATTTTTAGTTTCCCTTTAATGAAAAGTTGTGACGTTTATGAAAAGTGAATCTATAAAATAATAGTTGAAAAATATATGAATTATTAAAACTAAAACACTTATCAAGATTATGTAGTAACGAACATTAATAATGTAAAAGAAAATGATAACTATAACATCTTATCAATTATCCTTAGATCAGTCATCTTTGCTTTAATTTTATAATTTATCATTTTTTTCCAACAAAAAATGTTACTATTTGATATTTTTTAAAAATTAGATGAACCAATATGAGATATTAAATTTCGTAATAAGTAAATATTTCGGAGAACTAGGCAACTATGATTTATATGCAATTTTTATACTATTTGTTCAGACATAAAAAGGAAGAAATTTATGTAAAAGCCAAAGGAGGTTCATTGCATAACGTATTGGAAATTATTAATAGTTAAATTAGCAAGGTTCTATATTGTAGCTTTGAAATTGCGTAAAAGTATGCATCTTTTCATTCCAATTAATTAGAAAATATTTTGATATCAATTTATTTGTGTAACTTTTCTTTTCTTTGTCTTTTTCACCATATTAAAATCTCCGGATCATATGAACAAATTAAAACGAGAAAATAACATTTATTTGATCAAGACTTTCTGGAACTTGGGGTGATTTGTGTTTGTTTTTTTCTTTCCATTTTATCTTAGTTCATGTTCTATCCCTTACATATACTTCAACTTATCATGTTTGCAACACTAATATAGATATTTGTTGAAGATAAGGAAGTTATGATTTGACATATCAGGAGAAAAGACAAATTATTACGTAAATGTTTTAAGGATTGTAAATGTTTATCAAAAACAATACACTCGTCACGATTCGATATGTCAGGAGAAAAGACAAATCGCTACGTAAATGTTTTAAGGACTGCAAATTAAATATTTATTTGAAGAAAATAAACGCGTCACGATTCAATATATCGGGAGAAAAGACAAATCATTATGTAAATATTTTAAGAATTGTAAATATTTATTAAAGACAATATATTCATCACGATTGATATGTTTGTCGAAAGATAAATCTTTATGCAAATGCTTTGAAAATTATAAATATTATGAAGACAATAAGTTGGTCACGATTCAATATATCAAAAGAAAGATAAATCTTTATATAAATATTTGTTAAAGACAATAAATTGATCACAATTTGAAATGTTAGAAGGAAAGACAAATCTATATGTAAAAGGTTTTAAAAAAAGGAAAGACAAATAATTATAGAATAACTGCTGGAAAAGTATGAATTATATAGATAAAATATTCGTAAGTAATTATTTTTTTCTTGCAAATTTTCTTAGAAAACAAAATAAACTAAAAATAAGGGAATTTTCCTATCACGAATTTTTTTACTAGCTTCATGAATATATTGTAATAATTTTTTTTAAAAGAATTCTTTGTGATCATACTTTAATTATTATTTCCTCTCACTAATTATGTTCAATCTCATACATAGTTAGCGCGCTAAATTTCACTTTATTACAGTTGTTAATCACAATTTTAAAATGCTTTAAGTTTTACTTCTATTTTGGATCTGATACAGTAATACTCGTGTCTTTACGCCAAATTTTAGTATATTTCTTTGATTTAATTAATTTTTATGGCTAAATTTAATTAAATTAATTTAATATTT